TTTAGTTTTAGTTTGTTTTTTGTTGTTGTTTTGGTTTTTCGGTTTTTTGTTTGTTTGTTTTTTTACAGAAAAGCCTAAATACTATTGAAGTGAATTAAGCTAAACTCCAGAACAAGCATGTTCTCTCAAGTTGCGATTCAGAAATAACAGAACGAGATAACAAACCATAAGAAAGCTGGTGTTCATTTTGCATGGGAGATATCAAAAAGTCTGACAAAACAAATTCTCTGGTGTACAAAAGAACAAGGGATCGTTTTACAGTCCCCAAGGATAAGAGATATGTATAACCCCTTTCCCAAACAGCACTCCACTCTGACAGTCACTTCATCAAAAGTGAAGTCTAAAAACACTACATTAACTTCAGGCTATCCACTGCATTTTCTCTGCTTGTCTCTTTTGGCAATTTCACTTACAATTTCGAATTTCAGATAGCTGGGGTGATTCAATATAAAGCCTAGATGTGTTAAGGGACGCAGATGTAGACACCATTAAAACCACCACACAAGCAGATCAGACTTTAATAACAATGATCTTTGAATGTAGCATACTTAGAGATGCCATGACCACCATTCCACTTCTGTATCCCCCAGAGAGAGAGACTTTCTTCTCTGATAAGAATGTAAGAAGTAGGGCTGTGCAAAATTTCAAAGGGTGTTTCATTTTGAAGCTGTTTTGACATGTTTCAAGTTCAAAACAGCGCAATCGAAACAAAACAAAAGGCTTCGAAACAGCTTTGAAACTAAATGAGGGCACTCAAAACATTTTGAAAGTTTTGAAACATTTTGAGTTTAAAGCAGCCCAGTGGCAGGAGGCGAGGGAGAGCCAGGGCTACACTCTGAGTGGCTCCACCAGCCCCACAGAGCTCAGCCCAGCGACGGGAGAGCCAGTGGTGGAGCTGCTTGGAGCACAGCCCCACCTCCAAGTGCAGCCTTGGCCAGTGGCTCTTTCCCATCTCCTGCCACCAGGCTCAGCTCCGTGGGGCTGCGGAGCCTCCCGCCACCAGGCTGTGCTCACCAGGGCAGCACTCAGCAGCTCCAGCACTGGCTCTCCTGCCGCCTGCCGCTGCCGGGATGAGCTCCATGGGGCTGCTGGAGCCACTTGGAGTGCAGCCCGGCGGCGGGAGGTGGGGAGAGGAAGGGCTGTACTCGGAGTGCTCCGCCAGCCCCACGGAGCTCAACCTGCCCTCCCAGTGCTGCTGGACTCCTCCTGTGGGTACAGGCTTCCAAGATCTGCACACAGGATGACAGGAGGCTGCCAGCAAATGACACGTGTTGCTTTTAGCAGTTTGAGGTGAGGTCCCTGAAACCCCTGCACCTATTTCCTTGAAACTTGGCAGTCTTCATGCCCTCAGAAGAGGCTACCATCACTGCAATCTTCATCCAAATCAGGAAAGAAACGACAAAGTTATAGGCATTTTCATGATTCCCCATTATAGCCTATGGGTGAAATATCGAAAGAGTTTTGATGAAATGAAACAGAACGGTGCTTCGAAACTAAACGAAACGACAAAACAAAACACTGTCCCTTCAAAATGGTGAAACAGAAGTCGAAATGAAATGGTTCCATTTCTCACAGCCCTAGTAAGAAGCCACTAGAAGCTCAGTGCAATTGCATGATTTAGCTTTGTATTTTTAAGGAAGTTAAAAAAAATTGTCACTGATGTAACTATAAACTGTGAATAAGGATATACACCAAAGAAGAATTCAATGGCAGACTAGAATTTCAACCTACATTGTTATGAATGTCACACTAATAATCAAGAACAGCTCTAGCCAACCAGGCCTGGATTTGCAATCATCAACATCATCATAAAACCGGTATCAGGCATTTTTGCATTGCAAGTCCATGAAAAACTGCAAGAGATCACTGGCACATTTTATTATTCATTTGAGAAATAAAAATTACACTTTAACAAATAAAAGAAGGCTGAAATTATACCATGAATATGTAAGAGAGTCCTGTCAAAAGTATCTTTAGGAGGACAAATATTCTTGCATCTTTCATGAATCTTCTCTCTCTGTAAAAGAGACAAGAAATTAAAGAAATATTCTGCTGCTGTAACAACACAGTGAAATTCTTTTTTTTCCCCTTTGGAAGACATAATTCAGAACCTTGTCAAAGCAAGATAATGCATGACACCAAATAAATTTTGAGAACTTCACAGCTATTTTTCAACTCTTAAAATCTTTAAGTGACTTCCGAGCAGGTAAAAGTGACAAAGACCATTCTGGAGGCTGGTATCTTTTATTTTTGTTTGTGGCTTGCATGTATTTCTTCACTGAAGTTACATTATGGAGAAAGGCAATAAAACTATTTAAGCTGTATGAGTTAAGTATTCCTTCCTATAACTTGAAACTACTTACATACTGGATTCATAGATGTTAGGGTCGGAAGGGACCTCAATAGATCATCGAGTCCGACCCCCTGCATAGGCAGGAAAGAGGGCTGGGTTCAGATGACCCCAACTAGATGCCTATCCAACCTCCTCTTGAAGACCCCCAGGGTAGGGGAGAACACCACCTTCCTTGGGAGCCCATTCCAGACCTTGGCCACTCTAACTGTGAAGAAGTTCTTCCTAATGTCTAGTCTAAATCTGCTTGTATTGTACAATCTGCTTGGATTGTAATGATACATTCAAAACCTTTATTTATTTATTTATTGTTCAATCAGTAAATTAACCTGCACTAAGAGTATAAAACACCCTTTTACTGACCTCTCCCTCAAAAAGTATAAAAAATGTGTAAAAGTTACTTCCCCACCTTACTTATAAACATAATGGTGTAAACTTACACCCCGTTTAGTTCAGCTAAGTTTTATTTTTTGCCTAAATGGTTTAACCAGCAGTTCCAGTTCTTTAAACCAGAAACTATTTTTCCATGGAAAACTGTAGCTACACAATCCATTAGAGATTCTTTCATGAGCAAATCATGTCACTCCCTCCAAAATAAGCAATACATTGGTTATGGAAGGAAACAACTTCTTGTTTCCTTCCATAAGCAATACATTGTTCTACAATGATTTTATTGCAAGGATTCTTTTAATATGTTAATATCAGATATGCAAACATGTAATCCTAAAAAAAGTTCCATCCTGCATATTTTTACCATTTGGATCCAGAACATCTTACCCTTTCTTGAACTTCCAGCACATGTACTTAAAGTGACCCAACACAGAACACAAACATCTGTTAATGGCTCTTTAACCAAACTTATCTAGTTTGCTCTACAGTCATACAATACTTAGGACAATCAGATCCAAGCCTATGACAAGTGCTCATAAATGCTACTGTTACACAAATAATAACATAGATAGTCTACTTCAGTGTCTCTCTCATAACTTTTCAGATTTTCCACTTCTGACCAGACACACATTTCTAGAAAAGCTAAAAAAATAATACAACAATAAGTATGCATCATAATTCACATAAGATGTCTATGTAAATTAAACAGAAGCAACTGTATAATACCTAAAAGTTTCCACTTTCAGACCTAATACCACAAATGCAGAAAAGCACAACTGCTCACTCTCGGGAGCAGTACTATTGATTTCAATGCATCTATTCACAAGACTAAGCACTATAGAGTTAGCAGGAAACATTTAAGATTGTGTCCTTAAAGAGAATTCATTCAATAGCAACCCAAAGAAAGAAAGCTCCAACTAGGGATGCAGAAAATATGAGGACATCTCCCAATCTTCTTTTAGGTCAAAAGAAAAAAGCAAGTGTACGAACTCATATATTTGAAAGAGATGTAGAAGCTCTTGTTGCAGATCTGAGTTTCCTGACATGACAGAAACTGTCCTGTTTCATTATTCCAAATGTAAATGTTTTGTATGTAGAATGTTTTAAAGAAGTGGTTAGCAAGATTTTTGTCTCGTTTTAGATACCACCAGGGTATTGGAAGATTTTATATTGCACTGAAAAGGCCAAAAACTGAATAAGTTGTTAAGTTACATTTTCAATCAACTGAAAGAACAGGAAGTGTAAGGTTTGTACATTTAAAACAAGAGTACAGAACTGAAATGCAAATGGAAAACAGTAAAATGGTAAGAAGAGAAAATTTAGACAATACTTCTCATGTTGAGAACACTGAACTTCTGGAACTCCAAGCCAATGTTAAAAGGAGAGTCAACTAACAGAGAACCAGACAGGCAGTTTTTACAGAACAATACAAGCAACTGTTAACAAACAGAATCACTAATTTATGGTGTCACACACAGGGGGCTCTCAAATCCCTTTTTAGCCCTTGATACTTATTTGTACCTAACTTTGGTACATTACCTGAGTGATGTCCTGTTGGTATGGTGCAAAAAGTTCCTTGTTAATCTGTGGGAGGTAGAATGAAGGCGTGACTTCTGTGTCCACAAAGTCCTGTCCCCATGTTTTTGTAAAGAAATCAGATTCCCTTTTTGCTAACCTAGGATCATTTAGCGCTGCTGGGAGGTTTACTTTGGAATGAAAAATAGTCCATCGATGCTGATCTGCAACTAGAGATGGGCTGTCACATAAACTATTAGGATCACCTGCGAGTACAAAATATAAAAGACTATTAAAATGAAAACTAGAATGTACATTTATCCTAATAAATACAATATCAATCTTGATACAGATCACTAATTAAAAAAAAATGTTCATAATGCAAATAATCACAATTATTTACGGAAAGACGCATACAACCCATTTCCATGACAATCTATCAAACTTGCATTTCTTTGTTCAGATTACACAAGGCATTTTGAATATGTAGTTACAAGTATATTTTTCTTTCTATTTCTTCATACAACATTCAATTTTACCAGCTCCTACTGAAGAGGCAAAGCTCTGAAAAATTCAACAAATCTTTAATATACTGAATTGCGGATCTACTGCACTCACCAATTTAGAACTTACAAGTGAAGTCAGGATTCTTCCGTATTATTTTAAGGAATTGTTTTTCCACTCTATCCCACCACCCCACACCTTAACTTCAGGATTCTGACCAAGAAGTGGCCTTATGAGAGAGAGGCACCATAGTTGTGGATCTTGGACTCTTGGCTCCCCAGACCAAGAGAACTGTGGAGTGTCATAGAAACAGTGAAACTAACCTCCAGGGGGAGGGAAGGCTTTGAAGGCCTCAGCCTGAAGTACTGATGCTGATCATTCACAGGCTGCGACAGAAATCCCATCCTCTACTCCTACATTGTAACAATGATTACAGTAACGCAGGACCTTACATGTAGGGTAGAAATATAAAAATGAGGGACTGAGGGAGAGAACAAAGGTTCTCCTTTGCTCCAAAGGGAGACTGGGGTGTGTGTGAACAGAATTTCACTTTACCTACTGAAAAATAAAATCTGATTTCTTAGTAAGAAAACAAAAGAATCTGGTTGATCACTACAGACTCATTTTTTAATCTGGTCATTTTAACAGTTTTGGGTTACCTATAAGCCAACTCACCTGTAGGTTCCTTGGGACACACATCTGGCAGTGACTGCACAGGTTGAAAGCGTTTAGCAGAATCCATTTCCTTTTTAAAGAATGCATCAATGCTGTTTGACTGAGGCACTGGTGAAGAACTGTGGCTTGATGCCATTGCATAAAATCACCACTTGACAGTAGCTAAAGAAGAAACAGTAAATACCAAGCCTTTAATGCAGCTCTGACTACAAACTAAGCCATAACAATGCCATTTTTGTAATACCCAGCTACAGAAATCAATACAATTTTAAATAATACTTAAAGGTCTCTCCCAGTGACAGATCCATTTTAAGCACAAAAATAAAAGGCAGAATGAAATATTATGTCCTATGTCTAACCATGCAGCCACATATATAGAGTGTAAATGTTGCAGACAAAAATTCCAAAGCACTTTAAAATTTGTTACTATCACTATGCAAGCAGTAGGACACGTAAATATTTCCTCTCAGAACTTGCCCGGTTGTAGAAAGTGGGGTGTGCAACATGAAGACACCAGTAAAGGAGAACTTTATTTTACCCATCAAGAGAAGCAATATCATACAAGTACATAAAACCATGACAGTGGGTCACACATAAGAAACTTCATGTGCACTGATCCAAGGCTAAATTCCTTGTTGATTTAATGTCAGTGATTTCAATGGAGTTACACCAGCAAAGTATTCTGTCCACCATGATCTATAAGTACAATCTGATGCTTCTTGTATTTTATATCCCTGGCTGGCAATGAGGGTTGAAAAATGTATTTAAGTGTATCATGTACAAAACACGAACAATGGTTTGAATCATTTCTCCTGAGATGCACGCACTGGATAGATAATTCTGTCATCTCCCAGGATAGCAGAATCCTTTTGCAGTGAACACATTGGAAATCTGTTTTTTTACAGACTATCTTGGTGTGAATGTCCCAAACATTTCTGGTACTTTTAAACATACAAAGTACAAATTTTGTTTATAGTAACCTCCACCAAATATATAAAATTCAGTATCGTCCTTATGGAATGGCAAGTGAACTACATATAAAGTGTATGCATGCATGTGTGTGTGCATGCATGTGTATGAGGAAGAGATTCAGGGGGGGAGGGGATTAATAAAGGAGTGCTCTCCTTCCAGCCAGCCCCTTTACTAGGATGCTAGGTCACTGGCCCCAAAAGACTCTAGGCCAGTGGTTTCCTAACTTGGAGTTGTGATCCCATTTGGGGTCACAACGATAAAACATGGGGTTGCAGACGCTCGACAGTGTTGACCAATTATGATGAAAATCACAGAAAAAAAAGCACTGAATGGCAGGTTCCCCTTGCAGGCTGGCATAGTTCCAGCCCGCAAGGGGCTGCTTGGGGCTAGGGGGAGGAGAAGGAGGGAGATTGGAGCACGTATTGGAGGAAATGCAATTAATCGAGTCTGCTGCAAGTCTGTTGGAGTGTGCTAATTAGTACGCTCCAGCAGCCTCCATGTCATGTGTATTCAGCATTCCTGCTTTTCAAAATGGTGGCTGAGGGGTTAAATAAAAATGGCGGCAGAGGCACTTTAGCTAACTTGAACTAGCTTTAATTAAAGTGCCCCTGCTGCCATTTTGAAGCATGGGATGCTGAATACATGCAAAACTGTGGGGGCTTTAATTAGAGTGACTCTGAGAGCTGCTCTAATTAAAATGCCCCCCCTCCCCGGACCACGTGTATAGACGCCCTCTATTATCAAAGTCCCTTTCCTTATGATCCATTCACCATAGTTGCTAACATTTTAAAAATCTGACTAAGGAAAATTCTGCAATAAAAGCTGTGGGACTGTGGAATTCCCTCAGCCCTTGGAATACTGTATGTCTAATAGAATAATTTTAACTATTTTCTTACTGGAAGAACAAAAATCAAAGACACAGGAAAGCAAAGCTGTGCCATCTCTCACATCTCATTTGAAAAATACCTTCATAGGATATTTTTAAAACTATTTCTCTGCACATGTACACAATTCATGTTTTGTCATCTGTCTCCACATCTTGCCTTCTCCTCTCCCATTTTTCCCCATCTTCTTCTGCAGTCCTAGAGCCTCTGTGTGTAGAATGGTTCCCTTTCTCCTCCTCTTCCCTCTCCCAAGTCCCTCTGCTTTCAAGATGGGGGGTGGGTTAGAGATGGGAGGGAGACAGGAGGAACCCTGGCTGAATTTAAGATGACCCTCCAATAATTAGATTCTATACATGGAAAATTATAACAGATACATACATTTTCCATGCAGAGAATCTAATTATTTGGGGGAGGCATCTTGAATTTGGTTAAATATGGTAATAAAATATGTTGTTCCTGAATATGAAATGCATAGAGTTTTTAAAATAAATCAATCTATAAAGTATTTAACAGACTCATCATTATGTCTCTGAAGGATATTTTGTTGTGTGAGCCATATAAGATGCTGTAAGACAGAGAGAGAAATGTGCTTGTGCCATTAGTTTTAAAGGTGACCTACAAAAGAGCTGAAAACAGGTTTGGGTTCTTATCAAAGGATGGAAAAGGCCTGATTATCTGATGCCTCTCTCTGTACCCCTATAAATACCTTCCCCCAAAATGTTAGACATATGAGGATTGTCAAATCCTCTTTCTTTTTGGTTCAAAGTCTCAGTGTGTATTTTGTCTTTCACAGCCCTCAGTTAACTAGTTAACCTTTAATAAATATTTTCCTAAGTATTTCCCTAGTTTATTGTAACATCTGTTTAATTCCAAACAAAACAGTTAAGTAAATGGTGGGGGGGGAAATCCCCTGTTAACTCATCAGGTTTCACCTGCTTTGATAGCTGAAGTCTCATAATTAGGGACCTACCAAAATGGTGATTTCATGCTTTTTGCAGAAAACACAAAATCAGGTATTTTCCTCAAAAAACTGCAGGCTCCACGATTTTGGCAGGCTTGCTAGGAAGAAACAACTTACTGGTAAGCAGAGAAAAGAGCGGGAAGCCCTGCACCCTTAGAGTGGGGGTGGTTGCGGAGGCAGCAGGGGGCGCTGCTTGCAGCACATGGCAGGAAGGCCACACCCAGGTTCATGGAGCCCCAGCTCACTGCCAGCAGCACATGCACATGTGCCTTGGGGAGGAGGGCAGGGAAGGGGCTAGGGCTGCACTGCCACCAGCAACAAGCCAATCTGGGGCTCCACAGACCCTGGGGCAGCCACTTGAAGCTTCCCAGCTGTCTGCCACAGCTGGACCAGACCCAGGCTCTGGGGAGGCCCCTGTCCACAGCCACAGAGCCCAGGCTGCTCACAGCATGGTTTAATTATCCTGATTAAGTCTGGAGAAGCCATTAATCCACGCTTAATAACGCATGGATTAATGGCTCCCCCGGGCTTAATCAGGGTGCTTAAGATGCAGTTTCAGGCCATCTGCCAATCCTTGGGGAGAGGACGGGAGGGACTGGCAAGGCCCCTTGGCCAGAAGCATGGGGGCCCTGCCATGACAAGCTCATGATAATGGCATCCAGCCCTGTGATCTCCCCGCAAATAAGCTGCCTGCCTCCTCAAGTTCAGTAGATCCCTACGCATCCCTACTGAACATTATTTGTTCAGTTATGTGAACAGACTACCAGACAGGAAATAAACAAAGCACAAGAGCTAAATATCAAGGAGCAAATATAACATTAAAATAAAAACTGTCAGGCCTCCTTTACATAAAAAAGAAACAAAGCCCCATGTTTTTGTCTCATTTACAAGTTTCTTTTAAGAAAATCTAGTTAGCTTTAGATACCAAAAAAAAAAAAGTTTGAATATAGACACTTCCTTAAATTTTAGTCCATAAATATTATAAAAATGGAAAGCGGGTATTAATCTATTGCAGTGGCTCTCAACCTCCCAGTCCTCAAAACACCCCTTCGCAATGTCTGTGAATTAAGTGGCACCCCATTTCAAAAACTAATTTATATAATACAGTAACTACCTCCTTGTAGAGGGGCTGGGCAGTGTGAATGAGGAATTGGTCATGCAAACAATTCTGAGCCTACACTTATCTACTCATCTTATTATCACACCCTGCATCACCCTTCAAAGGATCTAGCAACACCCCAGGATTTTACAGCACCTTGGTTGAGAATCACTACTCCATTTCTTATTTTTAATACGTGGAAGTAGTCAAATATAGCAAATACAGCAAACCGATAAGATTATTGCGTGAGATTAAACTCCTCCATAATTTAGTCTCTATGGACATTTATACACGTACTTGTTCACACTATGACACGACAGAGATCCAGCTTGATTAACTGAGTCTGCTCCACACGGGAGCTGATGCGCATGGCACCTCATTGTGTGCAGTTGTATAAGTGGCAAAATGCGAGTCTGCAGAGAAAATGATGGCGGTGCACTTTTGAACTAAAACACCTTCAATGAGTTTTAGTTCAAAAGCATGCTGCCATTTTCTCAGCGCTGACATGCATTTTGCTGTTTATACAAATGCATTTGCTGCAGCACTGGGTGCTTTTAGAAGTGCCTGGTGCTGCAGTGCAAATATGTGTACAAATGCTCTATATACCAGAAGTGTGCTTGTACCTACAAACTTGCAAAGAACATTTTTTCCAACTATTTAGCTGGTCTAATAAAAGACATCACATCTACCCAAAGAACCTTGTCTCCAGAATTTAAAGAACTTCTTCCAAGTATAACACCTCAGAATGACTTCATTTTAAGGTTTTTATCTGTTGATTTCTTTTCTCTCTTCCTATTGTCTTCTTGAGTAATTACCACAGCATTTTAGTGCTCTGTTATGCTTGTTTTTCCTTTGTCACATTCCTCACTTGCATTTATTACTGTTAGGATCTTATCACTAAACAAGATTAGTTCAAAGAATGGGACTTTTTGAATCCTTTCCTATAAAACTTAGAAATCATAAACATAAAAATCATGGTAAAAGAGAATTTTCAGGTCTCCTGAAGACACAGGCAAAGCATTGAGTATTTAGGGCTCCAGCAATCAGAGATGTTCCAAAGGTCCATATTAGCTGTTTCTGCTTTAAAAAAAAAAAAAAAAAAAAAAATCACATTACATAAATGTATACTTCGTGTATTCATGGTAACGTTGTGCGTTTGCCAAGATACTTCTTCAAAGTGTATATATGCCCTGAAAATTTTTCTCTTGAAATTATACCTTTGGTTGAGCCATTGATTGTTTCCCTC